TATCGGCGTTTAGGGAACCCTTCTATTTTTGTTCTGGAAAAACTTTTCCCTAATTTAGTGAAGGATTGTCATCGTAATAATTTTCATTGTGATGCTTGTGAATTTGCAAAGCATAAATGTTCTTATTATCCTTCAGTTAATAAAAGAAGTTTGTTTTGTTTTATGGTTATTCATTATAATCTCATATTTTGATTGTGTCTGGTTATCGTTGGTTTGTTACTTTTATTGACTGTTATTCTTGTGTAACTTGGGTCTATTTGCTTCGCACCAAAAGTAAAGTTTTCTCTTGTTTTCAAGCATTCCATAGGATGGTTCAAACTTAGTTCAACACTTCCATTAAGGTCCTTCAGAGTGACAATGGCATAGGATATATTGATGGTGTTTTTTGCACATATCTTGAAGAACATGGCATCCTTTATCAATCCAGTAGTGTTGGTACCCCCTGAACAGAATGATGTTATGGAACGGAAAAACCGTCATCTACTTGAGGTTGCTTGTGCTCTTATGTTCACGATGCAAGTTCCTAAACCATACTGGGGAGATGCTGTTTTAACCACTGCCTATCTTATTAACCGTATGCCATCTAGTGTTCTTTAGTTTTAGCGCCCTCTTCAACTTCTTCCCCATACTTTTGTGTCACCCATCTCTCTCCCTCTTAAGGTGTTTGGTTATGTTTGTTTTGTTCATTCTTCTTGCCCCACTCAGAGCAAACTCGACCCCAAGGCTGTGCACTGTGTTTTTCTTGGTTATTCCTCCACCCAGAAAGGCTACAAGTTTTATGATTCTCACTCCGGTAAGTCTCATGTTACTATGGATGTCACCTTTTGAGTCTGAACCTTTTTTATCGGGCCAATCTCTCTAGGGGGAGGTTTTTACTACAGAAGAGATTGTTTCTGATCCGGTTGATCCAGTGTTTTTCCCCACCATTTGTGGTGAGGGAGAAGACGAACAATCTTGTGAGAAGTCACAAACTAAGTGTGTTCAGGGGGAGTCTAGTAGGTTGGATAGACCAGATCTCAAGACGTACTCTTGACGACAAAAAGAACAGTCATCTCATGTGCTGCCATGTCCATCTCCATCTAGAGATCCAGTTACTAATCTTTCTATGGAACCTTCAGGTAATGAGTCCTTGGTCATTACTTCTAATCCTGTTCCTGTTGATGAACTTGATCTATATATTGCTATTAGGAAAGGAGTTAGAATTTGTACTCAACATCCTATATCTAAATTTGTGTCCTATGACTCATTGTCTCCATCATACCGTGCTTTTGTTTCGTCCTTGTCTTCTGTATCTATTCCGCAGGGTTGGAAGGAAGCACTCAACGATCCCAAGTGGAAAGAAGCTATGGCAGAGGAGATGAGAGCTCTGAGTAAGGATGACACTTGGGAGTTAGTTTCCCTACCATCGGGAAAAAAACCCGTGGGCTGCAAATGGGTGTTCACAATTAAGCAGAGATCAGACGGAACCATTGAGAGATATAAGGCAACATTAGTTGCTAAAGAGTTCACTCAGACTTATGGCATTGATTATCAGGAGACCTTTGCTCCGGTAGCCAAGATAAATTCTATTTGTCCTTTCCTGTGCAACAAATCTGGGGTGGCCATTGCAACAATTGGATGTAAATAATGCTTTTCTCCATGGGGATTTCGAAGAAGAAGTGTAAATGGATGTTCCTCCTGGTTTTTCTTTTTCTACCACTAATAGGAAGGTATGCCGGCTAAAAAAGGCCTTGTATGGTTTGAAGCAGTCTCCTAGAGCTTGGTTTGATAGGTTTCTAAAAGCAATGATTAGATTTGGGTATAAGCAGAGTCATGCGGATCATACTATGTTCATCAAAATGTGTGCAAATAAGATAACCATACTTATTGTTTATGTGGATGACATAGTTTTGACTGGCAATGATGTGGTGGAAATGTCCCAAATCAAAGCTCGACTCTCCAAGGAATTTGAGATTAAAGATCTTGGTGCGTTACAGTATTTTCTTGGGATTGAGATTGCTAGATCAGACAAGGGTATCTTCATCTCTCAAAGAAAGTACATTTTAGACCTCCTTGAGGAAGTAGGGATGTTGGGGTATAGACCTTCTAATTCCCCTATTGAGGCCAAACATAGACTTAGTAGTGATGGAGACCATGTTGACAAGGGAAGATATCAGAGACTTGTGGGGAGATTAGTGTACCTTTCTCGTACTAGGTCAGATATTGCGTAAGTGGGTGTTGTAAGCCGGTTCATGCACGATCCTCGAACAAGTCATTTGGATGCAGTGAATCGAATCCTAAGATATTTAAAGTCAGCTCCTGGAAAAGGGATTTTATTCTCTAATCATGGACATTTGAGGATGGAGGCCTTCATTGATGCTGATTGGGTTGGAGCAATTGATGACAGGAGATTTACCTTAGGTTATTATACCTTTGCAGGAGGGAATTTGGTGACTTAGTGAAGTAAAAAGCAGACAGTTGTAGCCAGGTCGAGTGCAGAAGCTGAATATCGGGCCATGGCAAACGATATTTGTGAGCTTATATGACTTCAGGTTTTGTTGACTGACTTGGAACTGTTAAGTACTGGGCCAATGAGATCATACTGTGACAATAAGACTGCTACTAACATTGCCCATAATCCAATTTAACATGATAGGACTAAGCACATTGAGATTGACAGACATTTTATCAAGGAAAAAATCAACAGTGGAGTAATTTGTATGCCATTTGTAAAATCAGCAGATCAGTTAGCTGATATATTTACTAAAGGGTTAGGTAGTAAGGTTTTCATCCTATTGTGTGCAAGTTGGGCATGAGAGATATTCATGCACCAACTTGAGGGGGAGTGTTAAGGTATTAGATGATGGGTAGTTTGGTAATTGTTACTAAGTTGCTTATTAGTATAAATAATATTGTGTTAGAGAGGATAAAACCGATTTCAGATTTTGTGCCTCTTCCCTTCATATTACTCTCTCATCTTTATTCTTCTTTCTCTCTAAATTTATTCTCCTTACAATTTTAACTGTCTTTATATCCTCTTTTCCTTTCGTCATCCACAAATATTTATTAGTACTTGATCAAGTGACTATTACTATTGTCAAGTAGTTGGTATGTAAACCCCGTATTTACATATTCTGAGGTATGTAATTAATAAAAAACACTAGGTGCTTGGTGAATCACTTATTCTTTGGTAATAATTGTGGCATATTCTAATAATTTTTGAAGTGAGTATTACCTATTTTGACTATACAATGACCAATACCCAATTTTATACTATTAATTATTTGATATTTAAAAATATTTTGAAAATTTTACATACTAATATTCAAGATAACAATTATGGATATATTATTATTGTAATAATTTTTTGTAATTTTTATTTTTTTTTCTTCTAAAATTTGTATTCGTAAAAATAAAACATTTTACAATTTTGTCCATTTTTAAGAAATTGAGAAAAGTGTTAATACAATTAACCCTTCCTTTTTCTTTCCTCCTCCCCTTTTGAAGCAATGGTATGAACTCGTTAATAAAGGTTCATTTTATATACTATAAAGGTCTAGGACCTTTTTTTCTCTTGATCGGCAAAAGTCAATGATTAATTGTTAGATAAGCATCCGGAGGAGAGAGATATAAGGCAACATTAGTTGCTAAAGAAAGTCTTGTCTCCCATTTCACTCGTAAAAGTGAAACTCAAGACCTCCCCTTTCAGAGACTTGGTGGTTAAATCACACAGGCTACGACCCCTTGGTTTCTAGCACCACTCAGTTACTATTTATTTGATTTATGTTAAATATAATTGTCATTAAATGTTTTCCAAAATAAAATTGCTATATACTTTGAAATATGAGATTTATGTAATATAACCACATAGTCTGTCTTGTTTTTATACCCAGCACTAGCAAAGTTTTTGAGTGTTGAGGGCTCTTCCAGAAACAACATAATTAATTAGGTCTGTGTTGTTTTTATTATTATTTTAAAGAAGTATAGTTTGAATTTCATGATCTTAAAGACAAATGTCTCTCTCTCTCTCTCTCTCTATATATATATATATATTTTTTTTTTCTTTTATAAAAGCCAATTTTATTTGGTTTCCAGGAGAAGATGGAACAGAGTTGGGGTAGATATTTAATTATGAAAAAACTTATACAACTTTTTGACCTTATCCGGCGAAACACAATGTGCAACAATCTCTTAGAGTGTCCATAGTGGAGTGGCTATGCATGTTTGTTATATTGAATAAATAAGAAAAATTGGGGCCTAATTTAGGGTACTTAGTTTGCTAATTTAGTGAGTGCATAGGGTACTCCAATGGGCAAGTTAAGAAGTGTTTGGTTAGTGTGAGACCCATCTGTATATTAAAATTTGGAGAATAAAATGTATAAAATAAGTGACTTGCCGCTGTTAACAAATCCTTTAGCTACTCACACCTTTAACAAGAAGGTTGTTACAAAGAGTAAGAGCATTTTCAATGGAGATTTAAAATTGTGGGCGAAAAAAAGTGATAATATAGGACTCAATTTAGTTTGTTAGTTTAGTGAATACTTCAATGTATTTTGCATGGGTAAAGTAAAAAAAATCTCAGCCAGCACCCTCCCCTTTTCTCTGTCTCTCTCTCTCCATCCCTGACCATGTCAGGCCCACCTTCTGCCTTATCTCTCTCTCTCTCTCTCTCTCTCAACAACCCACTACAGTTAACAAATTTAACATCTGACAACTGTAATAGCTGCAAACTTAGAGCTTAACAGCTCCAGTGGAGCATGGCAACTGAGAAATTTTGTTTGCTGATAACACCTGACACTAGTTTCACTACTATGGATGCTCTAAACCTGTCCATTCAAGCCTACAAAAATTGAGTGCCATGTGTTGACTCTATATATGGATCCTAAACACATCCACTACGGATGCTCTTATATTTATAGTTGCATTACATATTTGCTTAAGTGTCTAGATTAGGTAAAGAGCTCAGAAAATTTGGATAAGACCAGAAAAATATTTACCCACTCCTCATTTGTGCATTGCAGGGAGGTAATTCTACATCTTCTGCAATGTCAAAGATAACAAGCAGACTTAACTTCTTGAAGGAACGACGATACCAGATTGCAAATGAGCTCCAAAATTTGAACAAAGGACAGAGTTCAGGTCCACCTGGTAAAGGATCAGAGTCGCGCCCATCAGTCCAAAACCAAGACAAGTTTCAGTCAGTCAATAACTTGGAAAAGGGCTTAGGATGGGACAACCGGCAAAACGTAGACATAGGGGTTACAACAGAGGGACGGTCAGTTGAAAATGTGGAACAACTTGGGAAATCAGATGGTCGATCGCTCCAAAACCTCCATAAAGGAAGATCAGAAGGGCAATCAGTTGCAAACCTGGAAAAAGGAAAATCAGAAAGTTTTCCTAATGCAGACAAAGGACGAAGGTCTGAGGGCCGTCCTATTGTTGCTCCAAGAACATTTTCAAGATGATGTCGTCAGTCTTGTTTGCTCTTTCAGTGTTGTTTTTTCCTGCATTATCAAACATCACTTATCTCACTAACAATTTTCTTGACAAGAATCAGTGTGTCAAGAAGATGACTGAGCTTTTGGAACGAACGAACCCTTCAAAATTGACCTTATGCCCATGTCTTAAGGAAGCTGTTGCTGCTGAAGTTCAGACATCCCCCAAGAGCCCAGGATGTAAATACCGTATCATTCATATCCTTGATGGAAGTTCATTTTTTGATTTTTGGGTTCCACTTGTTCAGAGACAGAGTAGGGGGCTGGTTTGTAATTACTAGGATCTTGTATGGGTAAAAGCAGTATCTAATTTATTCAAGTTCCTTGCTGGCTGGCCTAAGTAAAGCTTTGTAGGTGGTGGTATTGCAATCCTGATTTCAGGTCTGGAACTCCTTAACTTGATTGGCAGAAGGAAAATGTTTTATGAAAGCTTCAAAAGTAATATGAATTGGGGGATGTTTTCAACAATATGAATGTTTCTTCTTCTTCTACCTCTTTTTGTTTTTGGTTTCTTTGAGTGATATCTTATTCAGGGTGAAATCAAGATCGATCCAATTTGGAATCCATATCTATATTGTTGTTATTGTTTTGTTACAACACACAAAATGCACGATTGCACGGGAGGCTTACTCATAAAGTTACGTGTGGGCTTCGCGTGCAACTTTGGAGTTCGACATACAATTTTGAGTGTTTGTATGATTTTTTAAAAAGGTATGTGAACGGGGGGGTCGTTTAGCAACAGAATCCGTGAATTTGCAATAGGTGGTATGTGGGATCGATCGGGAATGATGAATTTCTTTTGCCCAACATCACTTTTGGCGAGATTTTGAATATTAGTGTTTGGGAGGTAATATTGATCTACAAGCCAACTACACAACGCAACTACTTCCTTTGGTTTTTTCTGACCTTTTTAATTTGATTTTGTTTTTGTTTGTATTTTTTTCAAAAATTATGTCAGATTTTTATTCTATTTTTTAGATCTTCTAGATACTTCTAAAACTTTTAAACAATTATATATGCCTTTTTTTTTCAAAATTGATTTAACATTTAAAAATTTTAGAGTTGTCTTGGCAACCAGGGATAGAATGATGAAAGCACTCACCATTTCAGTGATTCCATTGAATAATATTTGCAACTTTACTACTAACTTATATTCTCAATTGACGGATATATATATATATATATTTTTTCTGTTTAAGAATGGGACAAAGGTATGTGCCAAACGCAGCCTCTTGTTGGAATTGAGCTTTTTCACTTCACATCAAAAAATGATTCTCCTCCTAAAAGCCAGTTGGCCCTAACTTTCCATAAATTTGACTAATACCATCATATTTCCAAATTCAATTAATATCAATCATCAATTTTTGTTGACCAAAAAAGCATCTGCGTCCGCACCAAGCAACGGCCACAAGAGTTTTGCCAATAAATAGTTAGGTTGTAAATATCTCTTTCACCTTGACTTTGTGTTTGTTTGGCACATTACGAATTAGATCATATTTCTGTAAATAAATATATTTACAAAACAAATGCAAAAAGGGACAATTAAAAAAAAAAAAAAAAAGCACTCAAGGTTTGAGTTTTGTAATAAAATAAATTTTAATTTTTTAATTTTATTAATTTTAATTTTTAATTTGTTTTCGATTTAAGCCATTAGACTATTTTTGTTAAATAAAACCGACATAAAAATATATTTTAGTTATTAAACTTAATATAAGTATAAATAAAATGTGTAAAATACTCTTTTTCATTGGGTTTAATAACTAAAATATTATTTTTCTGTCGATTTTACTTAAGAAAAAAAATAGTGCTATACGCACCAATTGGTATATCAATTAGTGTATTAACAGATGATGTGATATAATTTTGGAAGTTTTGAATATTTGCAATTTGTATAATGGGTGGGGTCAGTAATAATGACGTAAGGTATGTTGGTACATTAGTTGATATACCAATTGGTGTATGTAATACCACCGTAATAAAAATAAGCAAATGGTTTAGATTTAAATCAAATTAAAAATTTAGGATTTAAATTAATAAAATTAAAAACTCAAGATTTAATTTGTTATAAGAGTCAAACTCTAGAATTTTTTTTTATAATTTTCCAAAAAAAAAAAAGAAAGAAAAGTTTGAGCCCAAATAACCTATTTCAAAACCTCCACGTTTTGGTGAAAAAACTTGGTATACATATTTCAAACACAAAAATATCCAAATATTAGTATGATTGTTTGTGAGTTGCATAGTTTGGAAAAAAAGAATTTTGTTTGGAATGTGGGTTGTTTCTTGAATTTTTAGCTAGTTAGTCTGAGATTAAAAAGATTTCCTTTGGAGTAGGATTTTTGATTTTTGTAAAAAAAAAAAAAATAATTATAATTTAAATATAACATTCTATTTTATTAAGACTAAAATAACTTTTTAGTCTCAAATTTTAGTATGCAAAACGAGTGTCAAATATATGATGATTTTTTTGTCGGGGCTCGAATAATGTGGCTCACACAGTAGCTAGGAGATTTTGTCGTGAGGAGGAAACTCAGTGGTCGAGTCGGCATCCTCTTCTTGAGTTGTCTCTTTGGGTTTCTACGTGCAGCGGCTGAGATGCACCCAACCAGATCCAACGGTCCAGATTCTCTCAAAAAAAAAAAAAAAAACTAAAATCGAGGCCCACCCTAAAAAAACCTTTATCAGTCTGACCCAAGACTAAGGTTAAGTTTGACAACTTAAAAATAATCTATCTTTTTATCATTTTATCTTTTTTCTATCACATCACCTTTCTATTTTTTTACATATCTTTTCATAAAAAAACAAAAAAATTCATTTATTTAGTTCATGCTAAACAACCCCTAAAACTCTCTCCTCAAACGGAAATAGACACCCACTGGAAGTGATATTCAAATCTCTCTCTTTTGAATCAAAAAAAAAAAAAAAAAAAAAAATCTCTCTCAAGAAAATGAAACCATGATTGCTTTCTAAGAAACAGAAATACCTGCAAAGCTTGATCTTCAAAGTAGTCTCTCTCTCTCTCTCTCGCAAATCAGAAACAATACTGAGAAATCGGAGAACCCAGAAAACTATTTCTGATAGGAAAGAAGATATCTAATAGTCGAAATTTATCTCCTTTTTTTTTTTTAAAACGAATAAAATGAGAAGAATATTAAATGAGGGGAACAGAGGAAGAAGATGGTGAGTTTGAAAAATGAGCAAAGAAAGAACGAAATTGAACTTTAAAGAAAGAAGACAGGGATAATAGAAGAAAAGAGAACAAACCCAATTAAAAAATCAAACCCCACCCCTTTTTTTCCTTCTCTATAAGCCCTTTTTTCTTTCAAAATAATTGAGTCTTGTTAATTTATTTCTAAAGTACATGAATTTTTTTCTTGTCTATAAGCCTTTTTTTCTTTCAAAATAATTGGGTTTTGTTTGTTTATTTCTAAAGTAGATGAAATTTGTTTTTTGTTTTTGTGTTTGGTTTTCTGGTTTCTGACTGTGTTTTCTTTGTTTACAGAAGCAGTGGAGAGTGCTTTATTAGAGGAGGGTAAGTGTGGGACAGCCATTAATGACTGAGGAAAGTTGAAGAAGAGAGGAGAGAGAGAGAGAGAGAAGATAGTGGAGGAGAAGAGGAAAGGCTAGATGGGTCCGGCGCCTTATTTATTTGGAAAAAAAATAAAATAAATAATGATAATAACCAACTTAACAACCATTCAATTTTCTCAAGACAAAAACACAAGAGATATAAAATAAAATTCCAAATAGAAATTTATTTAAATTTTCAAAAGTAACATAGAAAACACTAATCCTTATAATTAACCTCAATACTAGTTGTTTATCGTCATTATCATGGTAAATCCTTAGAAATCCTTGAAAAGCTTGCGGACTTGTTCAAGGGTCACAAACAGCACCACAGTGAATGGCCCTTGCCTTGATATTGTAGGAATAAAGCCCTTGTAGAGGGACATAGGTCCTTCTGCCCTAATTGTCTTTAGGGCACAATCAAGTGCTCCATTGTAAGGTGGAACCGACCCAGGCTCCACCTTCATGTTCATAACCCTGGTCTTAATCACATCCACGGGGTTTGATGCTACTGCAGCGACGAACCCTGCAGCGAAGCTGGCCGTGACGTGGGTCCCAAGCCCATCCTTCATCAGACCCTTTTCTAGGATTGTTTCTTTGACCTGATCGTATGATGCGAGCTGTGATGCGGTCACGATCATTGCACGGTTCACCGTAAGAGATGATCCGCGCCACAGGCTAGTAACGCCCTCCTGTTTCGCCATCCGAGTTATTGCATCGACAACGCTTTTGTAGTTGCGCCGCTCAGAAACCGGGAGCCGACCGTCGGCTTGCATGCGTACCATCGCCACGTCGGCTGGGTTCCCAACAGCCGCGCCGATTCCACCGGCTAACAATCCGGCTGCTATCTTGCGCCCGATCGAAAGGGTTCCGGAGTTGGGGTCGGTCCATTTCTGCTTGAAGACTTCATAGAGACCCATTCGGGTGGTGGAATAGAGAGTCTGGCGGAGGACGGTGGCGGAGACGCCGGAGTACAAGGCGGCGACGCCTTCTGTCTGGAAGATCTTCACCCCAACCGAGATGAGACCCGCCTTCGGTGGCGGCGGTGGTACCGGAATGTGGAGGTTGCTAGGGGCGGAGACGGTGGTGGAGTTGAAAGCGAAAGCAGGGCGAAGAGAGTGAATGTGGTGGTTAGGGTTTGGGACATGGTTCTCACCCTGTAACTGCATGCGAACCTTGATCAAATCAAGAGGGTGAGTTGAACAACCAGCAACGATCGAAGCAATACCTCCCTCAACAAAACCTTTCAAACCCATTTCAGAATTTGTTTAAAAAGAATTCAAAAAAATGGATTGTAAGCTTTTGAATTAAAAAATGTGAATGACTAGGAGATGGAAAATTAATGCCAAGACCAGTAGGAGTTGGGGTTCATCTCACTGGAGACGAGGAAATGAGAGTGGGCGCCGAAGGCTATGGAAGAGGAGTGAGGGACTAAGGATCTGTGAGACATATGCTAGTAGAGATTAGTTTTTGAAGGAAATGATTCTAGTGTTGTGGGGAGAGTGTTTGAGGGGAGAGAAAATTTATAGGGGTGGGAAGTGGGAAAAAAAGAGAGGAAAGTGGTAGGAAAACAGAGAGGGATGGGTTGGAATCCGATCCGGGTAAGACACGGAGACGGGGGGAGGTGGGACTCACAAAACGCGACAAGAGGAGGAACGGGTTAGTGGTACGCTAAATTGGACTCGACCGGTTCTAACTAAACCTTAAAATTGCAATTGGAATTTGGAATGTTGGGCAGGGTTACATTTTCTTTTTTATGTTTATGGGAGTGTTTGGCAAGTTATTTGTTGGTAGGAAAACAGAGAGGGATGGGTTGGAATCCGATCCGGGTAAGACACGGAGACGGGGGGAGGTGGGACTCACAAAACGCGACAAGAGGAGGAACGGGTTAGTGGTACGCTAAATTGGACTCGACCGGTTCAAACTAAACCTTAAAATTGCAATTGGAATTTGGAATGTTGGGCAGGGTTACATTTTTTTTTTTATGTTTATGGGAGTGATTGGCAAGTTATTTGTTTGGTCTTTTATTTATTTATTTATTTATTAAAATAGTTAATAAAGATAAAATAAATTAAAATAGTGAATAAGATAAAATGACACATTTAAATCATAATTATTTTATTTTTTGTCTCAAAATCATCAAATTAACTATTAAAAAAAGTCAATTAACTTCTCAAATATAAATTTTTTAAACAAATTAAAATAGTCAAAAAATAAATAAAATAAAAGTCAACTTGCCAAATGACCAATGTGATGAATTTGAGGAGTACGTGAAGCTATTACATTTTTTAATAGATAGGCACTATATATTTCATTTTAGTTATTCGAATTGTTTGTTTTATGAAATATTCCATATATATTATCTATGAAAAAAAAAAGGACAATCACCCGGTTTGATTTTCATTATTTTTTTAAAAATATATATTTTTTTTATTTTTGAGTATTTTTTTAATATTTTAAGAATTTTTTTTTAACTTTTTAAATGCATATAACTTATATGTACTAAAAAATAAAATATTTATAATAAAAAAAATTTAAAAATCAATAAACACACAAGAATACAAAAATGTATTGAATTTTTGTATTTGATGAATTTTTTTTTTAAAAAAATTATAAATATTATACTTTTTAAGTGTACCTAAGGTAGGTATATCTATTAAATTTTTTTGACAAAAAATTAAAATATTAATTTTTTGAAAGTAAACTTTATTTTCTAACCTCGTTTGAGGACTAAACATTTTAATTAAAAAGTCAAAAAATTTATTATAAATTATCATATTAACTCCCTTTATTTTTTTTTATATATTTTCCATAAAAAAATTAAAAAAATTACTAAAATAATTTGTTTCTAAATCAAGCCGTAGGTGATATTTCCATGATGCTAATGGTGAACTAGTCCAACTCTCAAATTCTTTTAAATTAGAGTAATATTAAAGATCTTAAAAATTTTATTAAATTTTTTAACAAATGTGTGAAATCTTATAAAACTTACATGATGTGAGTCATATACTTATATAAGACATTTAATAAAATTTTTAAGATATTTTAACATTTCGTTTTAAGAATAATGACTCGGACCCCCTTTTTTACTCACTCCCTTGACCCTCTCTTCCCATGATTGGTCTCTTTTTCTTTTTCTTTTCTTTTCTTTTTCCTTCTCCTTCAATCACCACCCGCCACGTATGTGTGGAGTAGTGGGGGTGGTGATTGGAGGGGGTCTCAATCATCACCCATTTTATTTTCTAATTCTAATTTCATTACAGGACCCAGCTACTACCGTTGATGGTTTCTGTCAAAGTTGAGAGGTCATTTTTGTTCTTATTGTTATTTATTTCTAATTCTTTCTAGTTGTAAAATTTGAAAAAAATTCAGTTGATGTGAGAAGTTATTGGGAGACTTACAAGTTGGTCTCATTGACCAAATTTATGTACTTATGATGATGTAGTTATTGATGGTAGGATAGATTGGATTGATCCACACTCCTCAAGCTTAATGTCCGAATGACCAAGCCCACCAGAGAACTTGTATAAGAGTTCAACAGGGAACGAGGAGTCCCCCAACGAACCCTCCGACGAGCAAGTTAGAGAGAGAGAGTGGAATATGTAGATAGATTAGAGATAGAAAAGTTTAACCTTCTTCTTGTCTTCAACGTTTGCTTATATCCTTTGGTAATCATTTCGTTGTCCTTTCCGACCTGTCACCTTGGCCAAAAGTCTATGCTGTAGCTTACCTTGTTTAGGGTGAGGGCGTGCTGTCCTGACGGAGAGGTGTCGTCGTAATAAATGCAGTGATGGGCTGCATTAATGGCGATGTGCAGTGGTAATAACTTTGCAGATCTTTGTTTGTTGATGTGGCTTGACTTTTACCTGCCACGTGTCTGAATATCATTGGTCCTTAATGCCATGTTGACTTCCAAATAGTGCTAGGCCTTATCAGTTGGGTTATGTATTGGGCCGTAAGTGGTAGGCTTAGGTTGTTAATAGTGGGTCATGGCCTTTATGGGCCTACCCACGTCAGTAGTCCCCCATTCTCAAGTGCAGCTTTAGTCCAACAAAGGGAATAATGAGGAAGATGGGGGTTGAAGGTTAAGGGGAAGGAACGACCGACCAGAAGTGGCCGAGTGGTGGGACCGATCATGAGGAGGGCCGACCGTGAAGGGTGACCGAGTGGGGGGACCGATCATGAGGAGGGCAGACCGCGAAGGGTGACCGAGTGGAGAGACCGATCATGAGGAGGGCCGACCGCGAAGGGTAGCCGAGTGGAGGGACCAATCATGAGGAGGGCCGACCGCGGACGGTGGCCGAGTGGAGGGACCGATCATAAGGAGGGCCAACCGTGAAGAGTGAGGTGGCGGGGTGCGGGGCTCGAGAGGCGGCACGTCACGTGATGACTTGAAGTGGAAAAGACAGGGTAGGGGAAGGGGGCAGTGAATCGTGGTCGTACACGTGGCAGCATCTCGTGGTGGGGGAGGTTAGACGTTGGGCCAGAAGTGAAACGATAGGTCATTATGGAGCGTTGAAAGGATAGTTTTGGCGGTGTTTTGAAAAATTTTCAAATTGGCGAAATTTAATAGGAACCCTTGGAATACGGGCAAACCTTGGGTCTTTGGGATTATTCGCTTTACCTATCTTTGTGCAAAACATCAAAACATCCAAGCGTAAACTCCTTCGTTGCTAACGATACGCCCCTGCAACACTTCTTGAATTTTCTTGTGCCTGCATCCGAAGCTATTCGAAGGTATACGAGAGAGATGGCACAAGAGGAAGTAACCACCGCAAGGGTTGATCCCCTAGGGGATGATGACGCGGTTGACCTGGGGGAACAATGTAGGAGGGAGAGGCAAGTGGAGAAGTCAGGGGAGTCGGCGGGTTTACCTCGTCTGTTGACAGTGATAGCGGCTCTGAAGCCAATTAGCCAGGCTGAGCCAGATCACTGGCATACGAAGGCCGACAAGTCAACCGTTACGGCGGAGGAGTTGAAGGGTATGAGGAAAAAATACCAGGTGCCTGAAAAAATAGAGTTAATGTTACTGATAGCAATGGAGAGGCCATCCGACGATTGGCTGGGGGAGTTTTCCCTCTACGAGGAGGCGTTGAAAGGAGGGTTGAGGTTGCCGCTTCCACAGGTGGTAGTGGATGTCCTCAATCGACTGGAAGTGGCGCCAGGCCAACTAATGCCCAACGCATGAAAGATTGTATTGGCCTGTGCAAGTGCGTGGCTGAAGGCGAACGGGGGGCAGCCATGACGGTGGACGAGTTTTTTGCCTGCTATAAGGCCTCGGGCCAGCAAGAAACTTGGGTCACTTCATGACGGTGGACGAGTTTTTTGCCTGCTATAAGGCCTCGGGCCAGCAAGAAACTTGGGTCACTTTGCAGGCGGCGGCAGGAAGGGATCTGGTGGCGGGGTTGCCGTCATCAGTTAAGGGATGGAGGCCGCGGTGGTTCTACGTATTCGCGAACGGCGGAGATGGAGTATGCACGGTGTGGAGAGTACCCACCAAGTCTATGGAGCCAAAGCTGGGGGCGGCAGCGGAGGAGAGGGTGAAGAAGGTGAAGGCATGGAGAGAGAAAGAGGGCGTCAGATGGGAAGACCTTGTTCAGCCGTCAGCTTTGTTCGTCGTAGGATTAGGCCCTCAGCCGACCGGTGGGGATCTGGCACCAGCAGAGCTTGAGGCGAAAAGTAGAGCGCAAGAGACGGAGGACCAGACCATTTTTGCCAAAGCCAATAAGTTCAAAGAAGCGCAGTTAGGCCCACTACCCAAACCGGTCGCGAGGGAAAGGATTCGACCACGCCCCAAGCCGTTGGGGAAAAAAGACTTGGGCAGTTTGAGCCATGACCTCTCCCCGTTGATCCAGTGAAGGAAAGGGCAAACAAGGGGGGAGAGGTCTTGAAGAAGAAGAAGAAGAGGAGGGTTGCCCCTAAGGGGGGCCTCAGATGCCCCTAGATCGAAGAAAGCCAGGGTGGGTAGTGAGGGCACTCCGATAGCGGAGGAGAGAGGGGAGAAAGGAGGGGAGGCTGCTCCAGAGATGGTGGTTGCCCCAGAGGCGCGGGGGGAGAAAATTCAAGGGGTCCCAGAGGAAGAAAGGCACATAAGCGCCCTCGACCCCAAGATGCAATTAGAGAGTGGGTCAGCTGACCCTAAGGAAGCGATGGAGCAGCAGCCCAAGGGGGGCCCTGCGCCCCAAGGAGAAGGGGCCAGACTGACGACTGCTATCTACTACGCTCGCGTAGTGTTTGGGCGGCTGGAGGGAGAAGAAGGCCAAGCCAGGGCGGCTGCAGATCGCCTTGTGGGGATTGTGGACGAGGCAGCTGTGCGCTCGGTGGCCAGGTTCAATGAGGCTGAGCTGCTAAGGGGGTTGTGCTCTGCCCAAATAGAGGTAACCACCTTAGCAGGGGCTCTGCTGAGAAAGGCAGCGGCTGCGAAGGTCAAGTCGGAGGAGGCTAAGGCCCAACTTGCAAGTTTCAAGAAGGAGAGTGCAAGCTGGAAGAAGGTTGCACGAGGCGC